TCCACCATCATGCCAAACGCTATCCTCTGATTATCCGCCAACGCCTCAATCCGCCTTCTCCTTGACCTGTCATCTGGGAGGAGCTCCTGCTCCGGCCCCAGAATGATATCAGGAACATCCTCGGGAGATTTATATACACCTATATATACTTATATGTAGACCAAACTTTGGTCACTTACCCAGAAAAATAACTCACCCATACTATATACCTTTGTTTATATAATGTTTTGGTTGTAAAAATAAGATATAAGTACAAAACAAATGTGTTTCTTATTAGTACATTATAATAATTGATAATGTAGTATTRTATGGCAGTGCATAAAATATGCATTAAACTGCAGATTGGATTATTTTTTTATGAATTTTAATTACTATGTGTTGTAATTGGCATGTTATATAATATAACAATTTAATGTGATTTAAAATGTTTTTAAATTATAATAAATAACATATTTTATTACATTTGTATTCCTTTGTAATTTAAAAAAAGGTGGGTAAATGGGTTAGAGTGTTACGACAATGGATGGGTTAAAATTAAATCCAATGATACCTATATCATTGAAGATTGAATATTATTTTTGTGTACGAGAAACAATTCCGAGCGCAGACAAGCAGTAAGCCAATACTACGTATTAACAAGTATATTTTATTTAAATTTCATTACCTAGTCTAGAATATTTTTAATTTTTGAATTATTTTTTTATTTTTATAGGAAATTATTTATTTCTGTTGTATAATTAAGTTATTCTACTTATCAAATATTTATCATAGGTATACCTACATGTATGGCTATTTGCTGTACAACGTATAGGTAACATAATAATATAATACATATATGATGAATGATGATATATCAACAATTAGAAAGAATTAATTTCGTTTTTTTTGTACCTAAAAAATGAGCGACTGTAAGGACTTGAAATTTTCACTAAATTTTCATATACTTACCTAAAAATCTACTTTAATTTTCAAAATATATTCCAACGAATTAGGTAGGTAACCTAACCTAACCTAACCTAACGATCCCCGGTTGGAGAATCAAGGAAATTATGTTCAATGAGACATCATCACTTGTAGAAATTGTAGTTGAATTTTATACAATATATTTTATTTTATGTCCAAAATAACTATCAAATGAAAATTGATCAAGTCCAGATAATTGTAATTGTGTGGATGAGCGAGATGTGACTACCACTTTGTGTGATCTTCTGGTCGTCCAGTCACTATTTGTCACCAATCACCATACCTACTACGAAGGTTGTTAAAGTATAGGAACCAATGCGACCACAGCGGCCTGTGGCTGTTTAATCGTGTGATTCGACTCATCATACAACATCTTTATAAAACAGGTGGCCGTATGGAATATTAAATTGGTCACCATGTCTCCTTAATCTATAGTCTCCGTGATTTTTGATCATGATGTTTTTAATCATCGAAATCGTATCACTTAATTGGTAATTATTCAATAAAACAAACATTTATCCGGCTGAAAACAATTATTTAYGGACTACGGTCCACAGATAATGCGATTGTTACAATATTATGCAGTTAATTATTTAAGAGCTTGGAAAATATTTACCAATAATAGCGTTAGTGTATTTTTGACGTTACTGTGTTTGTAGGTAGGTACTTAAGTAATTACAGCTAAACATTTCAAACGTGGCAAATACTATCAGTTTTACTTAGTTYTTTAATCGCTCTTTTTTGAATCAAAATAATATGAAGAAAGTACACAAAAAATATGAAGAAAAATTAGTATCAGCAAAACAAAAATATGTGCTGGTCAACTTTATAGAAGATCACCCTGAGCTTCAAAACAGAAAATTTGGTCCAATTGTTACCCACAAACAGGCGAATTTGCTTTGGAATGAAATTGCTGTGGAACTTAATAGTAYATTTGGTGCGAATAAAAATGCAGACAAGTGGAAAAAAGTAAGTATAATTTAAAAACATGTATTAATTTTGTACCTACTGAATTTTGTTTTATTTTAACTCTAATCAAAATAATGACAGTTTTGGATTCATACAAAGTCCAATACAAATGGTAAAAACATTCAGTTAAAGAAAAATGAAATGAAAATTGGTGGAAAAAAATCAACTAATCTATTTAATATAGTATTTGATGAAACAATTACAATATTATTTTTATATTTTATAGAATTGATTATTATTTATTATATATTATAGAATTGATTATTATTAATTTTATTTTATAGAATTGATTATTATTAATTATAATATATAGAATCGATTATTATTTAATATGTAATATAATTTATAATAATTATACATTTGTAACCATAAGGCTTGTATGTCTATTTAAACATTACTAGTTTTTATTTGAATACATAGAAACCAGAAAACTGAAATAAGTATACAAATTAAAAAAGTATTAGTATTAAAGTATTAAAGTATTAGTATTTCAACTGTAATTATTAATAGAATCATTAACTAATTGAGCATTAATGGTATGGTATCCTTTTCTATTTAATGACACTATTGTTAATGAGTACAGTCTATCTCACCAATAATTAGTATTTTACATAGATTCTTGAAAATTAAATATATATTATATGTTAAAACTTGACTTTTTAGTAAATATCATTTTTATATACAATTTCAAGTCATAATATCAAATAATAAATAATACTGCTTTATTTTATTTTAAACAAATGTAAATCTAAAATAAACACGATACAAGCAAAATACAATATGATATTAAGCTGTAATGTTTTCGAATTTGGGGAAAGTTAGTATTATAAACATCCATTACTTTTATGATTCATATTCTTTTAATTCAAAAGCTTTAAAACTTCTTTCAAACAGAATTAAGCCAAATACAAAAATCAATTTTAGTAATCTTAAATCAGGTAGAGAAAATGGATATAAATAGAATTCATTATAMATTTATAATTTAATTACATTTATTATTTGATAACAAAAACATTTTGGTATACATTTTTTTGATAAATTTTAAAATCAATTGAAATAAAATATTAACTAATAAAGATGTGT